GTTACAGAAAGGCTAGTTAATCTCAGGATGAGAAACTTTCTAACAGTTAGAGACATCCAGAGATGGAAGGCAGCCTGTGAAAGAAGTATAATTAATAGGTATGGAGGGAAAGGAAAGACTTGGAGTGAAAGAAAATAGCCCCTTGCTAATTTTGACTATGGGCACATCATTTAATTGAGCCTTACCCTCCATACCTATTAATTAAAGATAATCTTTGTCCTGCCTAATTCACAGGATTGTTGTGAGAGTGAGATAAAATAATCTTAAGTAAAAGGGTATTATATAAAGTGCTATTAAATATATTTATATTATTATGGCATAATATTATAGTTAACTCCCAGTCCAGGCACTACCTGACACTCTCTTTATAGTAGCTTTTAGTAGAGATTCTTGTCTTAGATAGGAATTTGAACTAAATAACTCAAACTCTTTCTAATCTATCTATTAGAAAGATAGATTAGATGATGCATAATGATGATGCAAGAATGATGATGCATAAATTACTTAACCATTTCTGTATGTTATAAAGTTTTGACTATATAATGCCCAAGTTAATATACTGAAGCATTCTATGAAAATTATATAGATCAAAATGCAAGAAATACTAAGAAGTTTGTTTTGTTTAATGGTGGACAAAGACCGTAAGCTAAAATCTTCTGTGTATAATTCTCTAGGAAAGGGGATAGTCCAAATGTGTGATTACCCCCAGAATTTATGAACTCTGTATATCAGCTCCACAGTCATGTTTACCAAGCTACAAGAAGAAAGCAGATCCCTTTAACTAAAATGTCAGTGATTGGGTTTTAAGGGATTTCAAATTACTAGGGAAGGACCCAGACACTTGGTGACTCCCTAGTGATTTGAAAATCTTACTGGCTGCTGGCAGTAGTTTGCATGGAGACTGAATATTATCTCAGCCCTTTTGAAAAAGTAAAGAAGCTACAAATCCAGTGGCTGTTCAAAACAACAAAGAAGGGTTGAGGTGCCTTTGGCTTCTAATAGGAGTGTCTCTGAATTCCTCGAGGAATTCCAGGCCTAGAGTTGATCCAGCTGGCAGGAGGTATCGATCTCCACTTGAATTCACTGAATAAATAATGGTTGCCATAGTTATTGAGCAGTCGCAACTGGTTGGAGAGCAGGGAAAACTCTGCAGCACCTTCTGTGAGTTTGGCCATGAGAAAGTCTGGTTACAAGGTTCCACATTAGCCCCTTCCCCAAATCCAGTAGCATATTGCTCAGTTACTGTATCCTGATGATGAATATGAGCTCTTGAATGTTATGTAAGACATGAGACACTGAAGGGAAAGGAAAGTTTAAATCAATGGACTGGTATTTATTCTGAGAAAGGCATCTCTCCCTAGGTTATGAATCTAATTGGATATTTCTCAGTATTAATTCAATTTAGTATCAGCAAGGTGATGTTCGATCATGTTATAGCTACTCAAGGGCTTCACAAAGGACAAAATCCATCTTATTCTATTTTAACATTATTATGCAAAGAGCACAACCTGGACATTTTTAAAGGAAGGAAAAAGTTATCCCAAAACCCCATAGGTATTTTCATGTTTATATTTTCTCTATGTAAAGAAATAATTTTTGCATAGATGGAATCACAGCTTAGATAGTATTTAATATTCTGCTCTTTATTTAAACATTTTTTTCATTTTGCTTCATAGTCTTCATATTTGTTCTGTTTGACGTCTCCAGAATCTTCCCTTCTATATACCATCGTTTACTTAGCAGTTCCCCTATTCTTCAGCCCTTTGCCTTTTTCCAGTTTTTTGTTTGATTGCTTTTGTTTTGTTTTGTCTTGGTAATAGATAATACTGAACGAAATGTCTCCATGTATACAGGTTTATTCTTCTGTTAAATGTTTCCTTTGGATAAATTCCCAAGAGTGGGATTACTTGGTCAGAGGCTATGAACGATTTATAGCTCTTGAAATTTACAGGCTGCTTTTTTGTTTTGGGGGAAAAATAAAACTTTTGGCGAACACTACTGCATGCAGGAATTCTCTTAAAATTCACTCTTAGGTGCTTCTTCTGAGACTGAAACATGGAGCCTATGCATTTTGTAAAGATAACCCGTAGGAGACAAGCCTGCACCTGCACTGATTAGCTAATTGCTTCTCAGGGAAAGCAAAATGATGCACTGCAAAGCTTGGGAATTAGGCCACTAATTGCCTTTTGTTAGACCTTGGAGTTGCCAGCCACTTGCCCACTGGCAAGCATTGTCTTTGGTGCGGGTTTTTCCATGTGTGTAGCCCTCTACAGTTGACAGATCACTTTACCGTAACATTATCTTATTTGAGCCACAACAATCCATGGAGTTGGGTCTTAATATCATTGCAATTTTTCTTTTAATTTATTGCATAACATTGAAGACACAAAGGAAGAATACAGCAAAGGCTGTGTTTCTGCCACCCAATAATTCCGATTTTCCTATGAAGACATCGAGCCTTAGAGAAATTAGGTCACCTACCTAGTGACAGAACCAGAACTAGAACCCAGGTCTAACTCCAGGCCCAGTGCCCTTCTCTTTATAGCGTATTGCATTGAGATAAGATGCCTGCAGCTTACAATCCATGGAGATGCCTCTGGCAATCTTCTTCTTGGTCGTATTTTCATATCATTATAACATATCAGGCCAGGTGCAGTGGTGCATGCCTATAATCCCAGCACTTTGCGAGGCTGAAATGGGTGGATCATTTGAGGCCAAGAGTTTGAGACCAGACTAGTTGACATGGTGAAACAGCGACCCTGTCGCTACTAAAAATACAAAAATTAGCTTGGTGTGGTGGCACATACTTCTATTCCCAACTACATGGCATGCTGAGGCAGGAGGATCATTTGAACTGAGGAGGTGGAAGTTGCAGTGAGCTGAGATTTTACCACTGCACTACAGCCTGAGCAACAGAGTGAGACTCTGTCTCAGACCAAAAAAAAGTAAGAAAGAAAAAGAAAATAACACATCAGAGCTGTTTTGGGACCTTACAGATAATTAAGTTCAACCTTCTCCTTTTACAGGGCCCCAAAGAGGGAAGAACTTCCCCAAATCATACACAACTAGCCAAGCTGAGGATAATGCAGATTTCCTAGTTCCAAGCCTCTTATTTGAGACAAGAGAAAAGTGTCTGGATAATTCTTTATTTTTCGGATTGGTTTTTGATTCAAGGAAATAAGTTTTCTAACAAAACCTTTCCAACTTAAAAAATTAATTTAGGGCCAGGCATAGTAGCTCATGCCTGTAATTTCAGCACTTTGGGAAGCTGAGGCAGGAGGATCACTTGAGCCCAGGAGTTCAAGACCAGCCTGGGTAACATAGTGAGGCCCTGCCTCTACAAAAAATAATTTAAAAAATCAGCCAGGTGTGGTGGTGCATACCTGTAGTCCTAGCTACTTGGGAGGCTAAGGCAGGAGGATCACTTGAGCCCAGGAGTTCAAGGCTACAGTGAACTATGATAGCACCACTGCACTGCAGCCCAGACAAAAAGACCTTGACTCGAAAAAAAATTAAATTAGTAAAAATTAGAAACTATTGCTTCATTTCCCATTAGAAGGATGTCTTCCATCCCTCAAGGTTCATAATTCTACATATAAATATAGTGAGAGAAGAAAAGTGAGATAACAGAGGCCAAGCTCCTCCCTTAGAAGTGAAGCTCTGAGGCCAGGCACAGTGGCTCACACCTGTAATCCCAATACTTTGGGGGGCGAAGGCAGGAGGATCACTTGCGGTCAGGAGTTCGAGACCAGCCTGTCCAATACGGCAAAATCCCGTCTCTACTGAAAATACCAAAAAATTAGCCAGGCATGTTGGTGCACACCTGTAGTCCTAGCTACTTGAAAGGGTAAGGCAGGAGAATTGCTTGAACCGGGGGCGGGAGGGGGGCAGTGGGGGAGCAGTAAGCCAAGATAGCACCACTGCACTCCAGCCTGGGCAACAGAGTAAGACTCTGTCTCAGAAAAAAAAAAGAAAGAAAGAAAGAGAAGAAAAGAGGCTCTGAAATGTAAACGTTGAGGGAGAGCACAGTGATTTGTTGTGGATGTCAGGCTCCCTTCCCGTTGCTCTGGAACAAGAGGCCGGTATTTGCCTCAGAATATTGGGTTCAAATCCGAGTTTTTAGCAGCTGAGTGACTTTGGGAGATTCATTTAACCTTATACATAAAATAGATGATAGTATTTGACGTGGAGATCACTTTACACATTGTTTTATAAAATATAAGATATTGGTATTTGTGTCTTGATACATTATAAAATGTCTGTATCACATCCTTCTGGGCTTCCTCCCCTTCTCTTTTCCATCTCCACAGCAGGAGGACATGTGTATTTTGTACAGAGTGCCAGGTATATGTCAATAGGGGTTTCAAGGGTGGGGGGACAAAACAAGGAAAAGAAAAGCTGAATTCTTCTCAATGCTGGTTAGCATAAAAACACAAGAATGCACTTTGCTCTGCTGAGTCTTGTCAGGCAGTCCTTGGATTAGCAAATGGAACTTACAGCCTCCCCACCTCCCTCAAGTGAATCTGTCAAGATAGAAACATGAATTCATTTGCCTGGATGTGTTTCTATGCCACTCTGAAAAATAGTTGCCTACTGACCATGCTTTCTGAGACCTAAGTAGGATAATGTGTGCAAAATAATAACCACCCTGCCATTTATTACACATGGCTGTGTGCCAGGAGCTGTGCTTCCCTTGTGTTACTTACCTAAGCTGGCTATTGCAGAAACCTTGAATTGAGTATCATCATTTTTTTCATCTCATAAGGAAATTTGTCCTCAGAAGTTAAGAGACTTACTCTAGGACGCACGCAAGTAAGTGTTGGGACTAGGATTCAAACCTTGGTGTTGTTTAATACCAAAGGCCATGAGCTACCTCTAAGAAGGAGGGCACTTCGATTGTAAAAAAAACTGGCAGAATGAGACACAGACCTCAATTAGGGATTCAAAGTGTCTTAAGATATATTTGCCTCCTAAACTTGCCTTTCTCTATCCCTCTGCAGAAAGACATGGGTTGAAAGAACCAAAGAGAGTCGAGGAGCTATGCAACAAGATCACAAGCAGTTTAAAAGACCACCAGAGTAAGGGACAGGCTCTGGAGCCCACCGAGTCCAAGGTCCTGAGTGCGCTGGTCGAACTGAGGAAGATCTGCACCCTGGGCCTCCAGCGCATCTTCTACCTGAAGCTGGAAGACTTGGTGTCTCCGCCTTCCATCATTGACAAGCTCTTCCTGGACACCCTACCTTTTTAATCAGGAACAGCCTGAGCTGCCTCCTCTCCTAGCACCTGCTTGCTACACAGCAAAGGGATACGTCTGGAAACCCATCATTTCCTGTCCTTCCTTAAGAGGAAAAGCAGCTCCTGTAGAAAGCAAAGACTTTTTTTTCTGGCTCTTTTCCTTACAACCTAAAACTTGCGTATTGTGTTGGGGTTGTGTTTTATATTTAGGCATTGGGGTATAGGGTTGGAGGGGGATATAGTTCATGAGGGTTTTCTAAGAAATTGCTAATGAAGCACTTTTGGACAACGCTATCCCAGCAGGAAAAAAAAACGGATAATATAACTGTTTTAAAACTCTTTCTGGGGAATTCAATTATAGTTGCTTTGTATTCAAAAACAAGAACAGCCAAGGGTTGTTCGCCAGGGTAGGATGTGTCTTAAAGACTGGTCCCTTGAAAATACACTTCCTGTATCAAAGGTATGTATGTGGTGCAAACAAGGCAGAAATTTCCTTTTAATTTCTTTCTTCCTTTAACGAATGGTGAAAGATGGAAGATTACCTACAAATCAGACATAGCAAAACAATAATGGCTGTTTGCTTCCATAAACAAGTGCAATTTTTTAAAGTGCTGTCTTACTAAGTCTTGTTTATTAACTCCTCGTTTATTCTATATGGAAATACAAAGGAGGCAGTCATGTTAGCAAGTGATACATGTTAATATTCCTAGCAGAGACTGGGTTCACCTTCCCTGTAGAACCCTTCTGAGGTATGGCCCATTCAAGACTTTTAGGCCATTCTTGATGGAACCAGATCCCTGCCCTGACTGTCCAGCTATCCTGAAAGCGGATCAGATTATAAACTGGATTACATGTAACTGTTTTGGTTGTGTTCTATCAACCCCACCAGAGTTCCCTAAACTTGCTTCAGTTATAGCAACTGACTGGTGTATTCATTCAGAAACCCCTTAAGTCACTGAGTATTTGATCCCTAGATAAGAACATGCAAATCAGTAGGAACTGGGTCATACAGGGTAAGCACCAGGGACAATAAGGATTTTTATAGATATAATTTAAATTTTGTTATTGGTTAAGGAGACAATTTTGGAGAGCAAGCAAATCTTCTTTTTAAAAAATAGTATGAATGTGAATACTAGAAAAGATTTAAAAAATAGTATGAGTGTGAGTACTAAGAGGATTAGTGGGCTGCGTTTCAACATTCCGTGTTCGTACTCCCTTTTGTATGTTTCTACTGTTAATGCCATATTATTATGAGATAATTTGTTGCATAGTGTCCTTATTTGTATAAACATTTGTATGCACGTTATATTGTAATAGCTTTGCCTGTATTTATTGCAAGACCACCAGCTCCTGGAAGCTGAGTTACAGAGTAATTAAATGAGGTGTTCACAGTGACTTGGATACACCAACTAGAAATTAAATAAGCAAATATATATATATATAAATATAGCAGGTTACATATATATATTTATAATGTGTCTTTTTATTAACCATTTGTATAATAAATGTCACTTCCCATGCCGTTATTTTATGGTTCATTTGCAGTGACTTTTAAGGCAGTACTGTTTAGCACTTTGATATTAAAATTTTGCTTATGTTTTGCTAAATTCGAATAATGTTTGAAGATTTCTAGGTCTAAAAGTCTTTATATTATATACTCTGTATCAAGTCAAAATATCTTTGGCCATTTTGCTAAGAAACAAACTTTGAATGTCAAACTGATGTCATAGTAGTTTTTGTTAGCTTTAAATCATTTTTGCTTTAGTCTTTTTAAAGGAAAAATAACAAAACTATGCTGTTTATATTGTCATTAAATTATACAATCAAACAAATGCCAAATGAATTGCCTAATTGCTGCAAAGTATAACCCAGATAGGAAATCATGTTTTTTTTCAAGAGTCATTCTAATATTTCATCATGTGTTAGGTTTATGTGTGCATTTATGAAAGATTATTTTTATATATCAAGATTATAGAACCTGGAATGTTAGCATTTTGAAATGTTAGATTTGGAAGGAGCCTGGCCTGTCAATTAGTCCAACCCCCTAAAATTCAGAGAGGAGCAAACTGGGGCCCATTGAAGGGTGAAGAGTTACTAAAGGTCAAACAGCTAGTAACAGAATCAAGACTAAGACCTAATTTACCTTTCGATAGTCTTTTTTTTTCTCACCTTACTCCATCTACATAAAATCAGGCTTTAAACATAACCACTAATATTTACATTTTACCTGAAGATAACCATGAGTAAAGTAGTACTTCTGCATTAATTTTTTGAGCTTATATGCAAACATAATAAATATTATTAAAATCAGGAAAGCTAACATTTCATACAAGATAGCTTCAGACCAAATTCAAATTGAATTTGAATAAATTAGAAATACTGTGCATACATAACCTTCTTGTGCACCATGAGTATTTGGAAAGTTAATCCTTGTTTTTGTCATGTCTATAAAGAAGAACAGAACAAAACAAAACAAAACAAAAACACAGCCCTAGAAAAATGCTGTTACTTTTTATTTTTACACCCATAGGATTTAAGGAAAAGATTTTTTAGCCATTATAATCTAGTGGTTGGAATGAATGAAGAAGCTTTTTTAGTAATAGGTCCAGATATGAGTGCTAAAAATAAAGATAATAGCATGTTCTTCTGTTCTCCATAGTTATTACAACTATGAGAGCCTCCCAAGTCATCTATCAATTAAACTCCCTTTTTTTTTGTCTTAATGTTGCACATAAGTTTATACAGAGTTGATGACCACACTAGCACAGAAGAGGATAATATGTATTAAAGCAGGTGATTCCTCCCCTTGTGGGAGAGCTCTCTCAGTGTGAACATGCCTTCTGTGGGCAGAAATCAGGAAGCTACCAGCTGTTAATAGAGAGTGCCTTGCTTTTATTTCAGACAGCAGAGTTTTCCAAAGTTTCTCTGCTCCTCTAACAGCATTGCTCTTTAGTGTGTGTTAACCTGTGGTTTGAAAGAAATGCTCTTGTACATTAACAATGTAAATTTAAATGATTAAATTAAATTACATTTTATCAATGGCTACTGGTGTACTGAATACGCATGCCTCATTTAACAGTCTTCTCTTAATTATTATGTAATAGTATTTGCTGTGAACTCTTAAGCACATCCCCAAAATTGATTTTTAAAGGCTTAGTAATGCTGAAAAATTAATAGGATTTCTGAATTGAATATATATTAAACCTTAATGATTGGAAAGAAGGGCATTCTAAATTCAATAACCATTTATTGACTACTTCCTGGGGCAAACCACTGCTGAGTGCTTTGAGGACATACAAACATGCACAGTGTGTGAAACTCCCATTTTTCTTTCAACTGTATTATAATGTAACTGGAGCCAAAATTAGTTGGCTAAAAGTGTTTCTTACAGGTAAGGAGATTCACTTTTATATCAAGACAATATAATATTAATTGTTTGTGAACCAACATTTCCAAGAATCAGGGTTATAGTTCTCAAAGACAGATATGTGCTGTCTGCCTTTTTGTTTAAGCCATCACTACTACATTACTTAGAAACCCCTTCTTTGTGGACAATACAAATGCAACTTTCATTCAACTCTACCCAAAACATCATGTGTTCTGAATTAGTGCAAATATGCTTTTTGTGTGTTGATGGCTCAAAAGTGTGGGAGTTCTCATGACTTCATCAGTTCATGAATAAAGTATTGTCTGTGACATCTAAGTACAGATGAATAGATAAACAAAATGTGGTATATAAATACAGTGAAATATTATTCAGCATTAAATTATAAATATATTATTTGTGTACTATGCAGACACAGTGTTTAGATGTCACAGACAATACTTTATGCAAGCATTTGGTCCACAAGCCAAACACTTCCTTCTGCTTCTCAACAAGACCTTCATTATTTAACCATAAACTATGATTAGTAAGAAAAAAATGACAGATAGAGTGGAGTGCCATCTGATATATGAATTCAAATACAGGTGCTTTTATCAATAAGAAACAACAAATATAAGTGCTTGGCTACAATAAAAAATAAGAGGAGAGGGTTAAGCTCCTCCTCGAGGGACAATAAGGACAAAGGTGTGGTTTGAATGGTGAGGGGGCCACGAAGGACAGGACTAAATATAGGGGCACTTGCCTATAGTTGAATTTCTATAGGTTAAATGCAAAGATAAACACAAAAAACTAATTTCTGACTTTAATTGTGGTAAAATACACATAAGATCTATCATCCTGTTTTTAAGTGTACAGTTCAGGAGTGTTAAGTACATCTACACTGTTAAGCAAGCAATTTCCAGAACTCTTTTTCATCTTGTAAAACTGAAAGTCTATACCTGTTAAACAACTCCCCATTCCCCCTTCTGCAACCCCTGGCAACCACCTTCTGTCTCCATAAATGTGACTACTCGTGTAAGTAAAACCATACAGAATTTGTATATTTGTAACTGGCTTATTTCACTTAGCATAATGTCCTCAGGTCCATCCATGTTGTATCACGTACCAGAATTTCCTTCCTTTTTAAGGCTAAATAATATTCCGTGGTATTTATATACTACATTTTGTTTATCCATTCATCTGTCATTGGCCATTTGGGTTGCTTCTACCTCTTGACTATTATGAATAATATTACTATAAACACGGATGTGCAAATATCTCTTCAAATCCTGCTTTCCATTATTTTGACTAATTGTTGATCTTTAAGCTTAAGTGTGATTTAAGTGCTTTTCAACAACAATCTTGATTTTATGTGGGTTTTTTTTTTTGTCTTAGGCACTGATTTCAGAGCCTCCCCATTTCTGATTTCAGAGCCTGCCCCCAACCTCAGGAGGCAACTGAGGTTGCTCCATGAACAAGGCTGTTTACAAACCTTTGTTCCAGGGCTAGGCTGAAAACTGAAAGGACTAAAATCTAAGAGGCTTAAGTGGTTCACCATCTTGTCTGGACATGCTTTTCTAAGAAGGCCCATCCTTTGCCCAACCAGTTGAAAATCCCATCAGTTTCAAAGGTTTTCGTGCCTTCTATTATTTACCATCCCTCCTTATGAACAAAATTCTTCACGAAATACTTCAGAAAAGTCTTCCTCAGGGTTGTCTCTGAGTTGAACTGTGACACTGACATAGGCAATGCTTGTTTTGTTTGGCTTTTGTTGCAAGTGCACTATCCTTCCTGTTCAGTTTTTCCATCTGTCTGACTCATTTTATGGCTCCATCAGTGAGCTGAGGGATTGTCAGCCCCTCTCTGATTACCTGCTGTGATGCTGGCCATCCCCTATGCTGGGCCTCTAAGGGTACTTGATTTGAGGGGAAGAGAAGAGAAACCTAATGTTACTAAACCAAACTCGGATCTGCTCACTCAGTGCACAGAAAAAGCCAAATACTGACACCAGGATTTGCAGTGACAGAAATAGAGGCATTTATTGCAGGGTGCCAAGCAAGGGGATCGGGCAATTAACGCTTAACACCCGAATTCCCTGATGGCTTACAAGCAAAGGTTTTTAAAGGCAGGGTATATTTCAGGAAAGCAGAAGTTACAAGCAAAATTGTAAGTCAAACATGGAGATTATACATTGTTTGGCCTGAAAAGGTGAGCTATCTTGAAGTGGTGGCTTTCAGGTCATTAGGTGGACTCAGAAATTCTTTGATTTGCAATTGGTTAAGGAAACAAAGTTTTGTCTAAAAACTTGGGGTCAGCAGAAAGGAAGGTTAAGGTTTGGCCTGTAGGTGTGACTCTTAACCAGGTAGAATGGTGGTCAGCATGTAACCTTCAGGTCCCCTTTATCTAAGGTCTCCCTGACAATGGTCAGCATTTTTCATTAGTGGGAGTCTCAGTTTCTAATAAACAACTCAAGAACATATGTTAAGATGTTATCTTTAAGTTTCTAGAGGAAACTAAAACACTTTGTGACTCTAACTTGCTTGAGATTACTGTTTATGCTACTCCCTGCTTATTTATTTCTCAGGGATATCTGGGTGCCTGGAATTTCCCTCGAAGAGATTCAAGATTTTTCTTTTATTTCCACCTAAGAAGGGCCCCTGATCTGTCTCACTAACATTTATTAAAAATCTATGGTGTGCGCCAGATATTCTAGTAAACCCTTTCATTTATGCTCTCATTTAATCGTTACTGCTTCTAGGAAGGAGGTGATATCCTTTGACTGAAAATGGGGAAAGAGGCCAGGAGAGGTTAAGTACATAGCAACAGGACCTCTCAGCTAGTAAGTGGATTTGAACACAAGTCAGTATGGCTCTACTGTCCCTGGCTGTGCTCGTGGAGCTGTGATTAGACCCCCTTTCCTTCCCAGAACACAGGGGTCATCTAATCTCAGTTCCTTGCTCATCAGCAATGGTAAAAACTCTACCAGAGCAACACAGCTACTATCCAATACTCTGACTCAGCTTCATCATTCCTGCCTGTCAAGTGTGTCACCTGTCTTGTGAATTCTTCAGACTTCTGGACTCAGCAGGTCCCCACCATTAGCTCCACGGTACTCAAAGCTTGCCCCTTACCAGCCTCAGTCCCACTGAGGTTTTTAATGACAAGGCCCTGCTCCATTTTTGAAATCCCTTTCTAGTGCTTTCATCTCTAAACACAAACATTCCCTATCCTCAGAGTGGGTTTCAGTCATTCAACCTCTTATAACTCTTTTCTGCTTCTGGCCAACCTCCCAATTTCCAGATGATTTAAAACTTCCACTCAAGCTCTGTAGTCCACCTCTTCCAAGTTGTTCTCCTTTAGACTCTACGACCACCTTTCTGGCCCCTTCTGGTTACTTACATAAAACCCACAAAACCATCACCCCCAGATCTGCCTTCTTTATCTCTGAGAAAAGATGATGGAACAAATGCATCTTTTCTCATTTGTTCTCATTGTACAAGGAAGCAGTCAATCCTTGTACATCTCACAGCTGTTCCCTTCTGGAAGCCTAGCCTCCATCTTACCCTTTGAATTTACATACCCACAAAAACACTTTCTACCTTTTGTTCCTAAAACCGTAGTTTCTTCCCCCAGCCCTTTCATTCCTTGCTTATTTTCTGCTGCCAGTTTTTAATCAATTGCTCAGAACTACATAAAGGTATTTTAAGTATAAACACACATACACATACACACACACACACACAATCCTAACATAGCTGCTTACCTGCTTCCTCATCCATATATAAATATTCAGGAGATTTTTCCTTATTACAAAAAAAAGGATACATGTATATATATATATATATATGTTTTTTTGTTTTGTTTTGTTTTTTGTTTTCCCCAGAGTCTTGCTGTGTCACCCAGGCTGGAGTACAGTGGCACAATCTCAGCTTACTACATCTTCCACCTCCCAGGTTCAAGCAATTCTCCTGCCTCAGCCTCCCAAGTAGCTGGGATTACAGGCACACACCACCACACCCACTAATTTTTGTAGTTTTAGTAGAGATGGGGGTTCACCATGTTGACCAGGCTGGTCTCAAACTCCTGACCTCATGGAGTTTGAGACAGGTTCTCACTCTGTCACCCAGGCTGAAGAGCAATGGTGCGATCATGGCTCACTGCAGCCTTGACCTTCTGAGCTCAAGTAATCATTATGCCTCAACCTCTCAAGTAGCTGGGACTACAGGCACAAGCAACAACTCTCACCTCATTTTTGTAATTTTTTTTAGGTGTGGTGGCTCATGCCTGTAATCCCAGCATATAAATATTTTATATATGTGAAAGAATAATGGAACAAAAAGAGCACAAAATAATTGTTAAATATTTTATACATGTGAAAGAATAATAGAACAAACATATTTGAGCTCACCACCCAACTCAAGAACTATAGGAATCTCTATGCCTCCCCAGTCCCCTTTCCCTCTTCCCTGCACCATTCTGAATTTGATTTATCATTATATATGTATATATTCTTAGACAATTTCTTGTTTAAAATTACATGTCTTTGAGTTTGTTTGTTTGTTTGTTTTGAGACAAAGTCTCACTCTGTTGTCCAAGCTGGAGTGCAGTTGGTACAATCTCAGCTCACTGCAACCTCCACCTCCCAGGTTCAAGTGATTCTCCCACCTCAGCCTCCTGAGTAGCTGGAACTACAGGCACACGCTGCCATGCCTGGCTTTGCATTTTTAGTAGTGACGAGGTTTCACTGTATTGGCCAGGCTGGTCTTGAACTCCTGACCTCATGATCCGCCTGCCTGAGCCTCCCAAAGTGCTGGGATTACGGGTGTGAGCCATCACACCCAGCCATCTTTGAGTTTTATATTTAGTATCATAAAGCATATATTCTTCTGCAACTTGTTTTATCTATGATGTTGTATAGCTTTAATTCATTAATTTTCTCTGCTCTGCAGTACCCCCCTTAATACACTATAATTTCTCTATTCATTTTCCTGTCAATGGATATTTGTTTTCAGGTTCTTGCTATTACTAGCTATGATGTTATGAAATTTCTGTACACATCTCCTAATAAACACAGGAAATAATTTCTCTAGGCTGGGATTTTTCAAAGTGTAGTTCTAAGATCAGCAGCATCAGCATCACCTGGGACCTTACTAATAATGCAGATTCTCAGGCCCCACCCCAGACCTACTGTTTCAGAAACTCTAAGGGAGGGCCCAGCAATCTGTGTTTTAGAAGCCCTCCAGGTAATTATGATGCATACCAAAATTTGAGACTCACAGCTGTAGGCCACCCAAGTAGAGGTTGTAGGATATGTGATATACATGTTGTTTCCTTTACTAGATATGTTAATTTTCTTCAAAAGCATTGCCCCAATTTACACTCTCACCAACGAAAGTTCCTACTGTTCTACATCTTTCCCAACACTTTGATTCATCAGAATTTTTTTTTTTTTGAGATGGGGTTTCACTCTTGTTGCCCAGGCTGGAGTGCAATGGCACGATCTAGGGTCACCGCAACCTCTGCCTACTGGGTTCAAGAGATTCTCCTGCCTCAGTCTCCCAAGTAGCTAGGGTTTCAGGCATGCACCATCATGCCCAGCTAATTTTTTTATTTTTAGTAGATATGAGGTTTCTCCATGTTGGTCAGACTGGTCTTGAACTCCCGACCTCAGGTAATCTGCCCATCACGGCTTCCCAAAGTGCTGGGATCACAGGCATCAGGTACTATGCCCGGCCCGGAATTTTTTATTATTATGGTTATAAAACAGCATCTTACTTTGCTTTATACCTCACTTTTTACAGAACAAAGTCCATATACTCAAAACAGCCCCCTTACTTTTCAGAACTAGCTTTCCTTTCCTTTCTTTTCCAGCTCCCCTACTTCTGAGATGGTGTAATTTCTACCATCTTGAGGGCTAGAAATTTGGGCACTATGTTTTATATGGCTCTCTCTCTTCCAGAAGGCATTGGACAGTAGCTAGTGTCTGGCTCCAGAGAGTGGTTCTATGTATGAAAATTTCATCTTAGAGAGAGTCACGGGTGGTATCATGATAGTTGATATTTTAGGAATGGTTTAGATGTAGGGTTGGTCTTGGAATATGTCTGATTTGTATTGTAACCCATAGGTTGCTGGGGCCTCTTTTCCTTAAGATCCAGAAGGGATTGTTTTAAACACTCTATTTTACAAACAGGGAAGTTGAAAGTCCTCCTCAAGATATCTGTAAATTCTGCCAATTTTTATGTTAGCTCTGGCTTCAGGCTCCCACTTCTCTTTGACATTATCTCTGTTAATTGATTATTTTTATTTTTATTTTTTGCTGTACTGCTAGTGTCATCTCTGCTTCTGGTGCTGCTCTGGAAGTAGAATTTAGATCTTTTCCAAAATTTCCACCCAAACATCATGAGTAAGACTTTCCCAGGTTCTAGAAACCTATCTTAAGTGATGGCTCATGACTCCTGCCCCTTCTTCTTCATCCCTCTCTTCATCCTTTCATCTGGAACATGGATGCAACTTTAGACTATGGAGATAAGAGTATCTCCTAAGAACTGTAGCAAAGGAAGTTGGAAGGAATCAGCCCTGAGGATTTTATGGAGCAGCCATATCTGAGCTGGACTGTGTATAAGTGGACTTCTCATGAGAAAAATAAACTCCTTGTTAAACCACTGTTATTTTTAGTTTTTCCATTACTCAAAGCTGAATTATATCCCAACTAAGACAGACAGGATGCAAGAAACATGGTTCATCTACAGCACAGGTGAAAAAAGTCAGGAGTGTCAAGGATTGTGACTCAGTGTGAATCACTCATGTTTTGAGGATACTAAAAAAGCCAAAGACATCTTAGGTCACAATTATTTGTTTATTTATTCATCCTTTGATTCATTCAACCTAGGTCCTGTGTTTCAGCTTCTTCATAGTCTCACAGGCCTAATGATGCCTGCCCTCTCAAGGTCTTAATTCTTCCTATCTTGTGGTTTTTCTCTTACAGGCTTCTAATTTCACTTTTTCCTCTAACCACCTCATCTAGTATTTTCCAGTTTCTATTCCTGAGAAAGAAAATCTGACTGGTATGGCTCAACTTGTCATGGGAGACCATGTTACAGATGCCTGGACAATCTGAGGATTAGGCATCCTTGAGTAGTCCCTGATCCAGTCAGCTGTGGTTGAGGAGGGATGCATTGGCCATTCAGAAAATACTGTGACTTGAATAATTTCACTCTGGAAGAGCTGAGAATATAAGGGCTCTATTACTGTAAAATCTAATATAGTAGGAAGCTTGACTTGACTCAAGGGGCCAATTGTGGAGGGCAGGTTTGGTAGAATTCTTTCTTGATTTCCTTACTGCCTAGTGCAATACCTGGTTCACTGGAAACCCTTAGAATATGCTTGTTGAGTGAATTCAAGTTAGATATTCATTGATGGGAGTAGGAGCTGGAAAACATGTCAAATTCCCAAGAGATTGTCTATGTCGTGACTTCCAAAATTGGTATCCAGAGCCAAAGTGTCAAGTTTCATCTTTTTCTCATCTTTAATGTAAAAGAAAGAGAGAGAGAGAGAGAAAAAAAAAAAATCAACACAACCCCAAGGAAGGTTTGTTTTTTCCTTTCCTTCAGAAAGCAGCTGTCAGTTTAACTTATCACAAAATACTGTCAGTGATGAGCATGACTGAAAATGCGTTTTATCTGTAATTAGAGAGATTACATTAAACACTATTATTTGCAGACACACATTGAATTAACCCTAATCGAGGCTAGCAAATAGTAGAGCCTGCCTATTTTTTGCCTCAAAATTTTTAGAAAATTGTGACAGTTGACACACAAGGGACAATGCTGACAAGATTTCTTTCCATCAAATGCCAGACAGTAATTGTAATTGCCTTTAAAAATGTTTTAAGCAGTTTCTTTAGTAAATCAGAAGTTGCCACAAATCATGCTGATAGTTTCTAAACATGGGGGTTGTTGACTGTGCATTCCAATATGAGTTTAATGAATTCATTTTCTGAGGAATTTAACTTTGCATCTGTTTTCAGGTGTAATTAATTCACTCTGATTAATGTGATTAGCATAGATATCAGTGGATTATACATGATGCCCTTTATTTATTCACTTATTTTTAATCTGCCATACTGTCCATTGGGAAATGTTAGAAGTGATTTTTGGGAAAACATCTTGCTGGTGGCTCTGATCACATTGGATTTCTGCAAAGCAGAATCCAGGAAGGAATTCACTGATTATTCACAACCTGTGCAGCAATGTACTCTTGTTTGAGAGACTTATTAAAGTTTACACAGTCCCTGCCTTTAAGGAGCTTATAATCCAGAGGAGATGAGACAAACATTCCAATGCAAGTCAGTCACAAGGAAGAATGACTGTCTTCAGATTCTTCATTCTCTCAGCACCCCTACCCCACTCTCTTAAAATAATGCTATGACTTAGGGTAAACTAATGCTTCCCATTCTCCTGAGCAGTCTTATTCATGGCTTCAATTACCACTTCCAAATCTGTATCTCCGATTCAGTCCCATTCTCTGAGTTCCAGACCTAGAGGCTCCAGATGCCTCCAGATACCTTCACGTGAATATTCCAAAAGTACTTCAAATTAAACACACCAGATCCAAATTCACGACCTCCTTCCAAACTTGCTCCTCCATTTGTTTCCCCAATCTCTGTAAATGGCTCCTCCATCTAATCATCCAGGCTAAATTACTACTATGAGTCTCAGGACAGAAAGGTCATTTATCTGTTAAGTCCTCAAACGTTAATGGTCACCTTTAATGTTCATTGGAATCATCTGAAAAGCTTATTAAAACAGTTTGTTGATATTCATGACCAGAGATTCTGATTTGGTGGTCTGAAGTAAGGTCCATTAATTTGTTGGGACAGGGACCACATTTGGAAAACCATTACTCTAGAGAGTGAAAAGAATGAAGGGACATTTCCATAAACCACTGTATTTGTCTGTTTTTACACTGCTATAAAGAATTATCTGAGACTGGATAATTTATGAAGAAAGGAGTTTTAAATGACTCACAGTTCTGCAGGCTTCACAGGAAGCATGGTTAAGCCTCAGGAAACTTACAATCATGGCAGAATGCAAACAGGAAGCAAGCATATCTTTACCATGATGGAGCAGGAGAGAGAGAGAGAGAAGGGGGAAGTGCCACACACTTTCAAACCACCAGATCTCATAAGAACCCACTCACTGTCATGAGAACAGCAAGGGGGAAGTTCACCCCACAATGCAATCACCTCCCACCAGGCCCCTCCCCCAAGGATTACAATTCAAGATGAGATTTGTGTGGGGACACAGAGCCAAATCATATCAGCCACCAAATCATTACTATGTGAATTATTCCTAGAGGATGAAGGCCCAGGAAACAAGTCTCCTCTGCGTAGAGCATCTCTGTATCACCCAGAGGCAATATGAATTAAAGAAACAGCTAGTGATTTAATTATTCCTTCGTCCATCATTTATGTATTGAGTCCCTACCTTATCCTGGACAAAGCATTGAACCAGACTCTGAGATATAATGCTGAGTAAAACCATGACACAATCCATGTTTACAGCCTAGTTTTAATAGGTGAGCTCAGGCAATTCTCTGAGCCTCAACTGTCTTATCTGTAAAACTGAAATAACAATACCATTGTATATAGACTTTATGACAGATAACAAATAGAAAACTGTGTCAAGTGCCTAGTTCAGTGCCTGGCACATTGATTCTCTAGATACTTAATGAATGGTAGTTAGTTCATATTATTTTTATGTTAGAATTATCCACTTTAAAGTGCTATGCAAGTACTAGTTGTTGTTATTATTTTTAGCATTATGTCATAGACTCCCTTAATGAACTTACCCAGGTAATGACTAGGTTTAAACAATTTTGAGAAAGGACCTCAAACAAGTGAAGACAAATTAGAATTTTGAGAGTTGTAGAACTCTCAGTTTCTTTCATTCTCTAAGATTATTAGGGCTTGTGTATTAATTGTAGTTTCCAAACTTTCCTCCAAAATACAATTTTTCCCACATTAGTATATTGTTTGATTAATTGTAAATCTTCCAGATAAATTGGAAGTGATGTAGAAGCCAAGAGGATTGACAAAATCTGATCCTCCCTACTAGATTCTAGGATTTCAAGCATCTCCTTGGAAGGGATACAGATATGGGGATACAAAAGAAGACTCCTCTTTGTTATCAGAAGTTCAATGAAGTATAGCCACACAATGGAATACTATAAAGTCTTTGAAAATAGCCTTGATTTGAATGTGTTGATATGAAAAAAAGTCAAAGATAAAAGGCATATTATACAGCAGTATGTATATCATTTTTGATTAAAGAAAAAGCAAAAGGATATTTGTGTGTATGCATATAGACAAATCCTGGAAGGATATACAGCTAATTGTTAACAAAATGTATTTCTCTGTGTCATAATTATGAATACTCTCCAAAAATTAATGAGTATTTTCTAGATTTTATTCAATGACTTAATATGACTAGTGTAATAAGCATTTAGAAAAGAGAAAGAATGAGTCCACAACCCCTACAAAGAAACTGTGGGTGCCCTCAGGCAATGTTAGAAAATCTTGTTACAGTATCACCCAGGGTTATTTAAAAATATCTAAATGGAAAGCCTGCCCCCAAGACTTTTGAACTAAATCAGAATCTCTGGGGCTGAAACAAAGGCTTCAGTTTTTTTTAAAGCTCCTGGGGTGTTTTCAATGTGTGGTCAAGGTTTTGAACCACTGCCTCAGGAGAGCTTTGCTTGCTTTTCCTTGCTCTTTGTAGGTCCCCTTGGGACCCTGGCTTATAGGGAGCCTCAGTGGATCCCCACAACCTAGCTAGTCCCAGGACAGACATCACTATTCCTTGACTCCCAATATCAACATAGTTTACTCAGTTTTCATAATAATTTTGATGTATATCAGAGATAGAAATTACTTTGGCCCCTGGACAGATACAGGGAGAAAAGGTGGAAAGAGGATAGGAGTTAGAATACCTGGGTTCTTACTGAGGTCTGTCATGCAATACCTGTGTGATCGTGTTACTTTTCTTTCTTTTTTTTTCCCCTTATTCTCAGTAGTGTGATGAAATGAACAGGTTACTTTTCTCTGAGGCTCAGATTCCTCATAGCTGCACCTCTTTTGGTTGCTATTAAAGTGAATCAAAATACCTGAAAAGAGTTTAGTAAAATTTAAAGTACTGTATACATATTATTATTTTTATAATAATATGAAGAATATGTTCAGGGGAATATGGTATCTGAGGAAACTTCAAGAAAGGTTGACTTAGTCTCCCACAGGTGACCTAGGCCTTTGGATGGACAGGGAGACCTAAGTTCAGAGATAATTAAATAAGGGGCAAATCCATGGGCTGAAACTAAAAGCAACTTGACAGGCCAAACATGAAATGCTTCTTTCTCAGAAATTCAGAGAAGAGACTCTGAGAAAGATCTTCCCTTTGCTTTTTTGATGGCTTCCAGGAATTTATCCCAAAGTGGTGATGTCCCAGAATAAATAGGTTTTCTTCTCATAATTAAGCCTGAGGTTCTGGGAATGGGCTGAGCCCAAGGCTGAATTCATTACTGAAATTGCTCACAATTTAATTCAGGACTCAGGGAGGTGATTCCTGCGTGTCCCTGGAAAAGAACCCTTGCATCTAGACAACAGTCTCCACGTGTCTGTAGATTGACTTTGAAATGGGAACATTTCCCCCTCTGCACTTAATTTACTCTCTAAAAAGAAAAGGCCATAAAAGGAACTTCACTACAACACTGTCTATAAAAAGAGCTCAGCATTAAGTGGGACCATCTGGGATATCATTCAACTTGGGTAGTGACTGAAGAAAGTTGAGTGTCCCTTAGGAATGGAGACCATGAATTTTTCATCTTTGTATCCTCTGCATGTCACATAATGCTGGGCCCAGAAAAGAGTACACAGTGAATCAATGCCTTGGAAGCTTCTCCTGCAGGCACAGTTCCTAGTGCATGGTGAAAATTAATAAATATTTGTGAAATGGACAGGATCATCACCAGGTCTAACACACAGAAAATGTCCACTATTGGGCAAATGTGTTTTCTTTTTGTTCATTATTTGTTTCAACTGCTCCCATAAAATTGATTTATTGCCCACATTCTCAAAGCAGGCAATAATCCATATAATAATATGGGTCTATACTGAAGATGAACCATAATGTATGTATGGTACCTTCTAATTGTATTATATAATTGGATCTGCACAACTTCAGGAAGAACTACTGCATCCTTCCAGGCAAGAGACAAAGGAAATCTAAACTAGGAAAGTGACAGTGGGAGGAAGACACGTGGGAGTTTTCAAACCTGATTTCTGGTTTGGAAACCTGAGTGGATGATGGTACTATTCACTAAGATATGAAGAAGGTACAGTTTTGATGGGAAATATGAGTTTAGTTATGAACATTCTGAGTTTAAGCACTTGTCTACCATCCAGGCAGAGGTGGAGGTCATTAGATATGAAAGTATGAAACTCAGAGGAGACATCTGGGTAGATAAATTT